AGATAACACCATCTTAGAGGAAGTTTGTCTTTTCTAAACGCCCGAAAATAGCCTGATGCGTTTGGGCGATCAATTTTTCTTTCTTTTTTTTTTTTTTATTTATTTTTTTTTTTACCACCCTTAAATCCACATCTGCTATTTAATATCACAATATTAAGATTGATCTAAATTTGATTTAAAAGTATTAAATATTAATGTACATTGTAGTCGATCTATAGCAAAAATTTTAAGGACCTGTTATTGGCAAATCCGTGGCTATCTTTATTCGAATGAATTAAGTTACATAGTTAAGTAACACAAACTGGCGTTAAAACAAACCTATGAAAACTTTAATAAATACTTTTTATAACTTTTTAAATTCGCCTCTGAATGTCATTGTCGCAGTACTTAAAGCAATAAATCAATGTTGCTATCAGAATTATCTTCTTCATTCTCATATGCAACCTAACTCCAGTAACTTTGAAGAAGTCTCTCTGCAAAACTTGCTTGAAATTGGAGGTGCCATCCGACCCGAATGATCACATCGAGCATTTGTATATGGCGCTCTACATAAAGAACACTGCGGCACCTAGGGCTATACAATTCATGTGGGCAATAATAAATTAATTAAAGTACAGTATTTAATTTATATTCAAAAGAGATAGAACCTCCACTAATAAGATGGAACATATACAAAGACACAATATATGGTACAAACTTGCAATGAATTGTCTTCATAAAGCTTAAACGAGGATAAACAATATATTTCATCCGAACAATTTAAATTAGTAAATGTCATCTTTTAAATAAACTCTCGTACGTCAAATCGGCTGAACCGAGGAACATAGATTATTAAGTGTTTAGTGCAAGTAAAAACAAAGGTAAAAGGTTAGAATCAAATATAGAATTTAAGCTAACAAAAACAAAATATCCAAAACAAGTCTACGTTATATTAGGTCTATATTGAAAAAAAATGTAAACTTTTCAAAAATTCGGCCAAATATAGTTTGGCCGTGACTTTGCAAATGCTACGGCCAGACAAATTTTTATACGGCCAGATTTGAGGAATCTGGCCGTCAAAAGGGCCAAATGGCAACCCTGATTAGTAGTAGGCGAACTTCAACCCTTTAGGCAAATTCGATTTTACTAAGTAGGTGAAACTTTTTTATTCCTTGTTTCGCGTACTTATTTTTTTTAAAGATTATCGGAGGTGGGTGGAATATAAATGAAACTTTGTTTTCTTATTTAGCAAATAGTTTTGCCAAAATAATCCAGACGGCAGAGAAAATAAAAATAGAATTTTCTTGGTGAATATAAAATAGGATGTTTAAATGCTTCAAATTAATATAATTATGAATAAATATACATCTTATCTTTGGAGATTTCAAGGCAGTGGAGGGCGTAATGAAAAGAAAAAAAAACTTTTATTTTTTTCTGAAATTTCCATTTTTTCCTGGCAGTGGGTTCGCTAATTGGCCTAAAATTAAATTTTATTTTTATTCAAAATCATCAATATTTGCAGTCGACGGGTTCTCTAATGCACTTGTCAATTTAGGGGGCCCCCGGGGACATAGCGGGGCACTAGCCGGGACTGAGCCGAGGATGTACACATAGTTGTGTCCCCGGTAGTGCCAGGACGTACCCAGTGGCGGCTCTAGGATATATTTTCTTGGGGGATTAAGTTGTCCGACAGGGGGACTTGAGCTTATAGGCTCGAGCTGGAGGAAGGGGTTGAGATATGTTTTATGGTCTGACTGCCCGATGAGCTCTGTCCGGCGGGTGAGCTTGACCTGTCCGATTGGGGGGCTTAAGCCCCCCTGCTCCCCCGCTGGCACCGCCACTGTGCATACCCAGGGTGCCTAGTGCTGTTTCATTTTTTATAGATCACGGTATAAATTTCATAATAAAATTTGAACCTCCAACCACACAACGCCGAGGACCAAGGAAAATTTGTGAACCGTGAATTTGACCTAGTTTGCATCAAAAATACGCCAGTACCTGAGCTAAAGCAAGGAAATCTGACTACATGTATTCATTTTCTTATTTAGGCCTAATTTCTGTTTTGATATTGAATAATTAAATAGTGTCAATCGGTTAAATCAATCAATCAATTATTTCCTTTTTCTATGATCAATCTGTCAGTACACTCCTTTCTTTCGCATTTTTTCAAACTTCCATGGAAATCTGCTTAGTGATACGCATGCGTAGTGCTTCCATCAAGCAAGCTCATCTCCTTGGCCTTGCTCCTGCCTAGCTCTCACGTGCTTCTCCGATTCAGACCTAGGCTAGACCTTCAAGTAGGTCTTTTCATCCAATCATTTATTAACAGGGCATTTTACCGGGGCTACGGCGGAAGTGGTGTGGACTTACCCGGGGATGTACGTTAAAACGATGCCCTGCATCGCAGGGAGGTGGCTGGAACTTTCACATGCATGTAATCCCCGGCTAAGTCCCCGCTAGGGCCGGGTCCAGGGGAGCCGGGACTACAATTGACAAGTGCATAAACAAGGTAAAAAAAAGTCTTACCTTACACCTTACACTTATTCTATGCCTAATAATATTGGTTTTTAGTATGGGCATTTATAGAATTCCACGCTTCTTTGTCAAACAAGATTTGTTATGCTTCTTTATTATTGAATATTGGTTCCATCTTCTTCCTCTTTTACCATGCTTTTACAAAACCAATGTTTCATCACCTCTTTTTTGATTGATTTTGATGATCTTGTCGAGGCTCTCTGTTGTTTACATTCTAATACCAGGAAATTGCCACAGTTTGGGTGATAAATGTTGGATGCCCAGTTTTAACCCATGCCGTATTTAGTCACCCATACCCAGAAAGTTTCCACAGGGGGTGGATCCATCATTTTTTTAACGAGAGGGCACCCGGGCCTAGATATGGTATAATTATACAGAAAAATATGTATGCAATAATGGTATGATTTGTGTTCAGTATATGATGTTTCAAAATAACATTTAGTATTAAGTTTGCTGTTTTGTATTTTTCTTACTGTTAAGGTTGAGGTTTATCTTATACCTTGTTTAGCGAACTCGTCGAACGCAAATATTAATGATTTCGAATAAAAATAAAATTTTATTTTTGGCCAATTAGCACACCCACCGCCAGGAAAAAATGGAAATTTCAGAAAAAAATTAAAGTTTTTCTTTATTTTTATTACGCCCTCCGCTGCCTGGAAATCTCCAAAGATAAGATATGTATATTTCTTCCTAATTATATTAATTTGAAGCATTTAAAAATCCCATTTTACATTCACCAATAAAATTTTATTTTTATTTTCTCCTCCGCCTGGATGTTTCTGGCAAAACTATGTGCTAAGTAAGAAAACTAAATTTTATTTTGATTTTTATTCCGCCTTCCTCGGATGATCATTAAAAAATCTGTATGCTAAACAAGGAATAAAAAAAGCCTCACCTAAGAAATAAAAGAAAGCAGTGGCAGACTGGGAGATCTTGCCCAATTTAGCCGGATAGTCGTCTGAATAATTACAGTACGAATAAATAGATTTTATATTCCAGATATTTCATTTATAAAATAATTATCAAGGCCAGTTAATTGATTTGTTATGTTTTTCCAACAAAAAATAAAAAACAAAAAATACATGTATTCTACTTTTAGCCCTGTCAAGACTTTCAAAATGGCAAAAACATGTGACATGCCTAAATATGGTAATGATGACATCACATCATGACCATATATAGGCATATCATGACTATATATGGGCATACAACAGTTTTTTGTCAAAGAAAATAATTTGATATTTTGGACAGAGCCTTAGGCATTTTGTTGAATTTTAATTCCACAGATACCAGATGGGTACAAGGGTTACAACTTGGACATGTTCTGTGTTCCTAAACACTACGAGCCATATTTGGAAAGTGTGCTTATACCCCATGGTGTCATTGCAGACAGGTAAATTATTCAACTGTGACATCATGCATATATTATGGCATTTTTTCTTTTTCTTTATTCAATTTATTGTTTATTTATTATTTCAATATATTTTTCTTTATTATATTCATTTATATATTTATTATAACTCATAAACAGATAAAAAAAAGGAAGCAAAAGGACAGGTTCCACAGACTCAAGGTCCAAACAAAGGAAAAATGCCCAAGACATAAAACATCAAGACATCAGAAATACATATAAAACTCTCATATATAAATACAATATTAATTTATTTTTTGAATAAAATAGAAAAATTTGGAAAAGAGACATAAAAAAAAGCAAATAAGAGCAGCAAAAACAAAAACAGGCCACAGTCAAGGGTTTTGCAGTGCACACCTTCCAGCAAACCTTTTTTCATGCATCTGTTGTTATATGGCCTAATGTCCATCATTTTTTCTCTGTCAAGTAAATACAGTTCTTATTTCTGATGTATTGAAATGCATGCAAATGTGTCGCGTGACACTTTTAGATTGAGACAACCTTTAATGCACAGGTATGACAACATCGAAAAAGAAACAAAATGTAATGGACTTTAAATGAACCTAAGCTCACAAACAAACCATTAGATCAACCCACCCTCTAACGTTAGGTTATCTCACTATATTAATTGGATTAACACATTATCAAGGATAAGTACTGAGTGTTTAACACTGGTGTCCTTGGATTCAATTATAGGTAAACGGATTAGTTGCCTTTTTTATGAGGTTTTAATTGTTCTTTACGCCGAAAGTGCGGTATTCTAACGTTAGTTTATGGAGGGCTGGTCGGCCTAATGATGTTGTTTCCACCTCACTAATTTTGCTTTCACTAGGCCCAGATATGACAAGAAAACATATTCTTTCAGTAACTATAGAAAACTAGGAGGGAAGATCTACTTTTCGTTTCTTATTTTTTTATATTTATGTATTTTTGAGGAGAATAATGCATACATATTTGTATAATTTTATATTTATGTATACTGTTGATAACATAATTTTATTTCCAATATAAAGGGGTGTCTTTTTTAGAGCCAAATTTTTCCCCTTATTGTGATATAGAATTTAAAAATTGATCAACAAGAGTTGAGTTCTTGTGTTGACTGAAACCGTCTGATAATACTGTATTCATAGGACAGAACGTCTTGCACGAAATATCGTAAAAGAAATGGGCGAGGACGAATTGGTGGTGCTTTGCGTTCTGAAAGGTGGCTACAAGTTCTGCGCTGATTTGTTGGACTACATCAAGGCGTTAAATCGCAACTCAGAGAGATCAATTCGTATGTCGGTGGATTTTATCCGTTTGAAAAGCTATGAGGTACACAAGCTTTGTTTTTATTCATTAGATATTCAATTAATATTCTTGTCTTTACAAGCCTGTCATTCATTTATTCCTTCTTTACTTAGTCTTTCTAAAAATTCACAATACAATTGGTGCATACAGTAAAATATATCAAAAATATAACCAAAAATAGTCAAATATGAAGAATAAAAAGTATAGCCACGTTAGTCTGTACAGTATAGAAAGTATAAAGTAAATAACAGCAGCACTTTTGAGACTAACAATATATAATATAAATTATATATTGTTATTCTCAAAAGTGCTGCTGTTATATAAATGATATATTGTTAGTCTCAAAAGTGCTGCTGTTATTTACTTTATACGTCAAATATGAAGAAATTGAAAGGTTACACAGAGGTATCATGAGTTTTGTTGAATTCATTTTCCCTGTATTTCCTTTGTCTGTCTGCATTATGGTAAAAAATTTGCCAGGAAATTACTAGCAATATTGGCAGAAATATCAGGTGTTAAAGTACTCCCGGATATACAATGAAAATACAGTCATAAATATACCAATAAAGCTGACTTAATAGCTTTCCTTGTTTATTTAATAAGTCAGATTTTATGTGTTCATTTCTGCTTTGCATTATGAGACATGCACAAACACAAAGCAAAATCATGTTTAGAGCTTAGTATCCAAATGATATTTTTATACATAAATGTTTACAGTATATATTAATTCTAATTCTGATATTTTTATCACTACTTTACTATTTTTCTACTGACAAAATTGAATTTCATTGTGCCCTTAATAGCACCTCTGTCTTTAATTTTTTAAATCATAAAATTAGTTTATTTGATAAGATTTACATTTCAGTTATTCACATGATTATTTTTTTGCTGTGACAGAATGATAAGTCATCTGGAGATATCAGGGTGATTGGTATTGATACATTAAGTACGCTGGCGGGAAAGAATGTCTTGATTGTTGAGGTTTGTTTTCATTTCTCTTTATAAATTTCCTGTCTATCAAATGGGATGATTATGTTTCTTAATCTTTATTATTGTTGATATTAATTAGTCAAGGGAGTTAAGCTGTAGCTTGGTAATTGGGATTTCTGTCATTAAAATCCTGTAACAATCCAATTCAACTCCCTAGTCACATGGCAGTCGGTTTATTAGAGCATCACAGAGTTCAATCTTGTAATGCCCAACTCAGACAGCATTGCACAATGCAGCCCAATGCGATTCATTTTCTGGGACAGTCTTTAAGTAGTCGTGAGAGTATTACATTTTCCTACGACGCAACTGTCCCTGATGCAGGCCTATCGCTTCAGCATCTCACACAGACAGGACTCAACAACTTAACGCGTCTGGCTGCGTCATAAGACGCTGCCTAAATTGGGCTTAATAGACGATTCCGCTAAGCCCCGCCCCTTGGATATTGTTGCTAAGGTCCCAAAAAATTACAGCCATTCTTAGTGAAACATGGCTGTGAAACTGTTTCTCATTTATTTTTTAATTTATTTATTTAGCATCCATTCAAATACAACAATATACAAAACAACGACATACAAAAATCAGATAAAAATTGCCAGTAGAATGGAGAAGAAACGGAGAACGGATGCATGGACGACCCATAAAAATCGACTAATGTTATTTCCAACGGAGTCCAAAGCAGAACATCAGAATCAGTATGTAAATATAGAGGCCCAAATATATAAAAGACCGTGCGATGTTTATGAAATATGACTATAAAAAATATAAAAGATAAAGACTGTAATTTGTAAATTTACATTGTTATCATGAAGTATCTCTTGTTTGGTTGTTTTTTTTTTAGGACATTGTGGATACTGGTAGGACAATGAATAAACTGTTGAAAGTTGTGAATGAGAACAGTCCAAAGAGCGTACAGGTGTGTAGCTTGTTGGTGAAACGTGGCAAGAACGAGTACAGACCGGCATGTAAGTTTACATCCTCTGTTGACATCACTAGATTACATAAAGGAATCCGAATTTTGGAGAAAATCTGGTTCGGAATTGAATTCGGTGTTGTTTGCACTGGCGGCTCCGGTGTGTACCCGGGTTCTTAAACGTTGAATGTGTCCCGCACCTCGAACCTGGAATGTTTTTCGCAATACCAGTCATGTTTTTTGCCATTCACACTAACCACTATTCTGGAGTTTCTAGTCCGGGTATTGGAAAATCCCGGAGTTTTGCTTGCAGTGTAAAAATGGTATAATTGTATTTTTCTGTGTGTGATGATACCCATTGTCAGCTGACATCAGGGAGCTACTTAGTAGTAATATTGAGCTTTCGATTGGACGACAGTAGGACGTAGAATGTAATGATGTCACTAAAAATCATCTGTGCATGCGATAACATTAAGGTCACCTCGTCGAGTAGATTCTGGGGCGCAATTTGGCCAAGTCAACTTATGCACAGAACGTAGGACGCCCGGTAGGACTGTTACGCATGAGTGATTCCGTTCTAACTTCGCGTCGTCGCACAGATCGAAAACTCCCTAATAAAAACATGCAAACATTATGAATTTGAGATGGGTTAGCTTCTAGAAGGTATTTGCTTGCTGCTATTAGATCATTTTGTTCCTGAGTGTATGAAAGTGGAAGTGGTTTGTCACAGTGGGAATGGTTTGGCTTCTCAAGGTCGGGGTTTCAACCCCTTTCTGTGCACATTGCTTGTGTCCTTGAGCAAGGCACTTTACCTCTGTTGCTTCTCTCCACCCAGGAGTGTAAATGGGTATCTTGTGGGGTTGCCTGGTACTGCGCCAATATGGCAGTATCCCTTACGCATGTGGATCTAATGACCAGGGGCAACAAAACACTTAAATAAATAACAAATATGAATTTTCTCTTAACAGATATTGGATTTGAAGTTCCAGACAAATTTGTGGTAGGGTATGCCTTGGACTACAATGAGTATTTTCGTGATTTGAATGTAAGTACAAAAGTCTTATGCAGTGTGAACTTTAGGTCTGCTTGCTAACATTTTTTTATTCTAACCAGTCGTGTATGATCTTCATTGACTGCCTTATAATGAGTACATTCAAATTTAATATTCTTGTATTTATGACACTACGGGACCTTTTATCCACCTGCATATCTCAGTGCAAGTAAAAATGCATTTACACGGATTCCAAATTTTCGGACCAGAAGGGCTACCGATCACAAAACGCAGCCCAAATTTCGGTTCGGATCCGATGTAAATGCAGCTTAAGGCTTGCAATACACTTCTTGCAGCCTTATGATGTCAAAATAATAGGTTATTTTGTGATTGTAAAATACATTATTATTATTATTATTATATATTTTTTACTTATGTTTAATTTATTTGTTTTTATTTGGTTTTTTTTTGACTATTATATAATATCTGTCTCTTATACACATCTAGATGTGTATAAGAGACAGACATAAAGGAACAAAGAAAATTAGTAATCAAAGGCCAATTCAAACAGTTCTAAGATTTATTTTTTATTTATATATTTATTTTTATTTTATTTATTTATTTATTTTTTGTTTTGTTGTTTTTCTTGGACCCACTGTTGAAAAACTTGCTTGCCATGGTTTTCCCTTTTCCATCAATTTGTAACTTTTGTATTGTTTTTAATGGAAAAATATGTGGAATGAAAATTGATTGATTTTCATCCATTTTTATCTTTTCATCCAATTTGTTTTCTTTACAGTTAATCTTGCACATTTCAGCAATAGTTACCCTATGTTCTTTTTTATTTTTCAGCATATTTGCATCATAAACAACGAAGGCAAGACAAAGTTTGCTGTGTAGAAACTGATCTATGTTTGTACCGTGCAGTTGAGGACAGTATATCGTTAGTTATCATTCAAATTGTTCCCTATTGTCGTAATAGCACTGAAACAGATTTTTCCCCATCTCACTTTTTTCACACTTTATTTACATGTTAATGTAATTGCATTCATACAAGGTCTTGTGCTTAAATGTTTTCTACTATAGTTAATATACTATTGTGTAAGGGATTGTCACCTACAAGTAGGACAGTGATATTTTTGCTATTGACAATCCTTGGCACATGTATTGTGTGCCTAAATAAATAAATAAAAAAATAATAAAATAAAAAAAAGTCTGCATACATACCGTTCCAAACGAAATTAATTTGGTTCACACAATAAAAGTGGCATATTTTTATTTTTCATGGTGCTGTTAATAAAATTAAAGACATTCTCTTTAATTGGGTGCAGTGTTGATAAACTTTAACGTTGATCATATATGGGTATCATGTTGAAGTATATAAACTTAAAAACTGGTAAAAAAAATTAAGTCATGTATTTATTGCTTTAAAAAAAAAATATTTTTAAAGATGTGAGGTATTTTTTAAAATATTATTATGATTTTAATATCAACTATTTGGTTGCTATTTCAACTGAGATATAAGGATGAGGAAACCACCCAATAATTTCTCTATTAACGATTTTTATTGATGTATGAATTAATGAATAATGGCTTATGAAAAGAAGTGATATATTTTATAAAAATTCTTTGTAAGATTATCCATAGCAAAATTAAATTCATATTTATCAATATAAGTGAACTTCAGGTAAAAATGATACAGGTTATTATTACAGTTTATTTTTAACCAAATATATAATATGCATAGATGTAGTTATGTATAATTCTAACGTGCTAACTGGAAGGCATTCAATGCTCAAAAGTATAAGCATTGGGAAAGCCCAAAAAACTTGTCATGTATTTTTTGCTTTAAAAAAAAAACATTTTTAAAAAAATGTGAGGTAATATTTTTAAAAGTATTATTTGTTTTCTATCAGGATTTTAATATCAGCTATTTGTTTGCTAATAATATATTTAAAAGTTTTGTTTGTTTTCTATCAGGATTTTAATATCAGCTATTTGGTTGCTCCCTTTGTTGTGTTTATTTTGTTAATGTCTTCAGAGGAGGATGAAAAACAATAAGAATAAAATATTAATTTCTTTGGAAGCAATATGGTTCCACTGTACCAAAAGCTTCTAAGCGGGATAGAAAACAAATGATAATATTATTGACAATAAATTTCAATTCATATTTTCAAATGTTGACTAGCATGTTGTACTTATTTTCAAACTTAACTATTTTAAATGCTTATAATTTCATTTGGATTTTTGAGGGTGCCTTAGGCCAATATTCCATTGCAGTGTATATTAGCTTCATCGGTAAATTATATATGCATGTCATATTCATGTTCAGTGTATCAATAAAAACTGATGTAAATGTGAGATAATTTTTCATGTAAATCACTCCATGACCTTAAGAAGGATTTGATCTTGACTAGTGTCATGTCAGCAGATGTTAAATCTCTTTGAAATGTGTCTAAGTGTCATAATAGTATTATTTTATCATTGATGCTTTTAAGCAGTAAGAAAACATTGATAAATGATAATGATGATTGATTGTTTGTTTATAATGAAATATATTATTATAATTAAACATAATTTGTGCAGGCCCACAAATCTTTAATTCTGCGGAACAAATCTGGAACTTCTTCAGGTACCAGTGCTTGACAGGAAGCTTTCTAATCTAAACCAAGCAGGCCTTGATGGCTTAAGTAGTGAATAAAATGTGAATTCTATTTTACGGAGCTGTTTATAGCTATCAGGAGGGATCTTCATTATTGTAATACACTATTAGTGATATATAAGGAACCATGAAAAAAACTACAGCTCTGCTCAGAACCATCTATCGCATCTGAGATTATGTAACAAACTCAAAAACAAATTTCAATGAATTTAATTCTGATTTGTCGATACAATAGATCTTTGTGTAAAGTTTGCAGAAAATTTGATGCAGTGTTAAAAATTCATGAAACAGCAAAGTATACTGTATTATTTGGATTTCGGTTTTGTCAATTTGTGATTGTCTTGTGTAGAATAAAGAGAATTCAACCAAATGAATGATGCACAGTGTATGTATTGTTTTATTGTTAACTGTAGTTGCATATTTTTAGGTTTCTGTCGTCTGATCAGAAGAGTGACAAGAGAAGTGGAAAGGTTACGAGTTTGAGCACCAAACTGCCAGTGGTGTAGAAAGGTATTTTTCATTGGGGGGATGATTGAAAATTCTTGGAATTGACATAAAATTTCTGATGTCGTACACACCCTTCAGTGTGAAAATTTGGCTTGCTTTGCAAGCACATCTAATATCTAAGGAAAGAAGAGCTTAGATTGGTACCAGATAACTTTTATGTAAACGAATAAGTAATTTCTTAGAGTTCAATAATTTATTATCAGATAATCAGTTTGGTTTTAGACATGCATATAGTACTGAATAGTTACTCACAAAGGCATTTCATTCATGGGCTCAAAGTTTAGAATCTAAAGATTGTAGACAAGTAGATGTAATTTTCTTAGATTTTTCATCTGCTTTTGATAAGGTCCCACATAAACATTTACTTAAAAGCTTAATAATATTGGTATAAACAAAACTAAATAAATGGATTCAGGGGTTTCTTTCAGATAGAAAACAAAGAGTCATCTATAGAGGTGAAACTTCTAAATGTAATATCAGTGAGTTCCTCAAGGGTCAGTTCTTGCCCCTTTGTTATTTTTAATGTATGTAATTGGCCTTGAACATGGTACATCTTCAATTTTTCAATTCGCTGATGACAATACGATTTCAAGACCTATTTATGGAATAGACGACTGTATTACGCTTCAGGGTGATTTAAATAGGATTGTTGAATAGTCTATTGTAAACAAACTGCCGCTAAATGCACCTAAACGTGCAACTATGAGTTTATCTAGGTGTAAAGAGCATCTTACATGGGACTATAGTATAAATTTTGAAACAACTGAAAGAGTCCATGAATTTAACTACTTGGCGTTTATATTAACAATAAGTTATGTCATTCTCATTTGAATTATGTTAGTAATAAGGCAAGCAGACTTCTTGGTTTTGTTTCAAGATGTAGTAAGGCAATGTCTTGGATGGCTATGCTCAATCTTTATAAAACTTTAATATTACCGGTTATGATGTACTGTTGCTGCATGTGGGCACCTACTGAAATTACAAATATTTATAGATTAGAAAGGGTACAAAAAAAATGCAACTAGAATAATTATGTACAGAAAGGAAGGAAATTGGGACACGTCATATTTATATAGATTAAGGATTTTGAATATTTTAAGCATGTAGGATATTTTTAAAGTATATCGACTAACGTTAGGTTTTAAAATAATGCATGGCCAATGTCCATTGTCGTTTAATAATCTTGTGAGATCAAGTGAAAGGCGATTAATACATTGGAAAGCCAAGACTAATACATTTTTAAATTCATCTTTTGTTATTTTTCCTAGATTATGGGAACAACTTCCTAATGAAATTAAACAATGTACATCCACTTCGGACTTTAAAGCCCAGCTCACAAAACACTTGATCTCAAAATATTAATAATAATAACTATTAATTATCGCTGTTTTTCATTTTGTTATAGTTAAATCAATTTATTTTGAATTTACTTTTTGTATATTTATATTGTATTGTCATTGTATTTGTTTTTGATGATGGAGTAAGAGCAGTTTACTGTTTGGGCTTATGCCTATTACTTATTCCTGGCAAGAATATTGTATGTATACTTTTTACTTTGCCGAATAAATATTATTATTATTATAAAATAATGTTGTTATCAACATTAATACATTATGCTAATTTTCATTTTTGCAAGCGCATGACATTGCAAATTATTTCAGTGACAGTCTTTTGAAGTGTGTAAAGCTCCATTTTATCCCATACATAGTCAAAATATTGGGAGGGGGGAGGATGATATAATGGACCATCCCCCACTTGTCAAATATTGGGGGATATATCCCCCCCCCCCTCCGGATCTACGCCTATGCAAACTGGTCACATCTATTGTCTCTTCACGTCACTTTGAAGTACAGTCCACCTTCCAATTCGAGACCCTTCTGATTCCGAGACCCCTTTAATCCGAGAATACTTTTCCAAACACCCAAATAACAATCGTCCATATTTTAACATAAGGCTAACACTCCGAACCCTGAGACCATTCAAAATTTTAGGATGTGAATGACACTGTGAAATTAGTCTCACGTAGATATATCTGTATGACTATCCCAGCAGTGAGGGAGGTAGCACATTGTGTTTGACGTGGATGCAATCAATTAGACCAGGGGGTAATAGTGCTCAATGAGTGTCTATTGTTACCGGTGGTATTACATGACTACCAATGGGCGGCGGCACCAGCTAGAGTTCTGAGAAAACTTTTTGTCAGAAAAGCATGAACCATCCGTTGTCCGAAGCCACAAGGTTGTCGGACTTAAAAATGTTAATTTTCCTATCCAAATAAACTTGTGGTTGCCAGATGAGTTCCTAATAGTTTAGGGTCATCCGCGGGGTCATCCTATAATACAAATATCTTGCCGTTAGGCGTTAACTCCACCAATGCTTTTATTTATTTAAATGTAGGAGGAATGTAACGGCTTCTCTTCCCCTCTTGAACCCACCTCCGAATAATGTCACTACACCTGATTTAAGCCCATAGTATTCAAATTCACTCCAGACTGAAACCCATAAATACGATACATAGGCCTATATTTTTATTTTATTTTGTAAGTAAAAATACAAAACGTATAAATTACAAATACCCAAACAACAGAAGCAGAATTTAACAAAGGACTGGAATCGAGAATTCGATAATTCAATTCAATTCAAAAAGATATTATTATTATTATTATTATTATTATTATTATTATTATTATTATTATTATTATTATTATTATTATTATTATTATTATTATTATTATTATTATTATTATTATTATTATTATTCTTGTACACAGTGTTACAATTTTAAAGCTTGTTATTGAGCCAATACAAATTCTTTCTGGGATCACTCAAAATGAATATTTCGAAAGGATGTAAATATGCATCAGTACACGTTATACATAGGCCTAATAGAACACATAGGCGTGATTTAAAAATGTTTA